TTTGAAGCAACCTGTATTGGCAGGGAAGGTGAGGACTGGGGCGGAGGTGACAGCATCTTTAAGGGTGCAGAAAGCATGGTCTTTGTCTAGTCCCCAGGCCCATGCCTTGGTTTTGTGAGTCAGCACATGGAGGGGGTGGGCAGTCTCGGAAAAGTCTTTGATACACCAGTGGGAGAAGTTGACAAACCCCAAGAAGGACTGTACTTCTTTGACCTTGGTTGGGGTTGGCCAGTTGAGAACTCCGTGGACTTTCACAGGATCCATCGCAATGCTTCCCTCGGAGATGATGAGGCTGAGATACTCAATCCGTTTCTGCTCAAACTTACATTTCTCCGGCTTCAAGAAGAGTCTCCACTTCCACAGCATCTCTAGGACCTCTCGGACAACCCTCTGGTGCTCCTCCAGGGTGGCAGTGAAGATCAAAATGTCATCCATGTAGCAGATGATGACCTCCCGGTTGACGAAGTCTCGGAGGATGTCATTCATCATTGTTTGGAAAGTTGCTGGGGAGTTACACAGGCCAAAAAAACATAACGGTGGGCTCAAATAGCCCGTGGTTGGTCGAAAACGCTGCCTTCCACTTGTTGCTGTCCTTGATGCAGACGTTGTTAAATCCCCAGCACAGATCTAGCGCTGAGAAGTACTTGGTGTTTTGGAGGCGTGTGAGGACATCCGAAATGAGTGGGAGGGGGTACAAGTTTTTGACTGTGATCTCGTTGAGCTTCTGGTAATCTTGGACTAGGCACAACAATCCATCTTTCTTCTTGACGAAGAAGACTGGGGCTCCCATTGGGGATTTGGATGCCTGTATGCACCCATTCTGCAGGTTCTCGCACAGGAACTTGTCTAGTTCCTTCTGCTCTGGTCATGACAGAGGGAAGGTCCTCCCTCTCAGGAGTTTGGCATCTGGCACCAGGTCTATTGCATGGTCCCAGGGCTTCCGTGGGGGCAGCTGGTCGAAGGCCTCCTTCAAGAATACGTCCCGGAAGTCCTGGTACTGCTCTGGGACTAGCGCCTCAAACGGTGCAGGCTCTGCTTCTGGTTCATGGGCTTCCTGGGCCATCCACTGAGATGGCATTGTGGTCGCTCTCAGTTCATGTCCCCACCCCAGAGGGATGATAGCAGCATAAATCCCATCCCCTGGTTTCACTATGGGGTCTTGGTCGGTGTGTCCTCACATCAACCGACAGGAGGATGGGCAGCGAGACATACTGACCTTTTGCCGCATCCAGTCTACCTCTGGGTTGTGGTGCAGCAACCACGAATGTCCTATGATGAGGGACTGCCATCCAAGGTTTGCGATGGCAAAGTGGGCCTGCTCCATGTGCCATCCAAACGTCAGGAGGGCCTCTAGTTCCTCAGTTATGGCCCCATTCTTGTTTGGGGCCCCATTGATGTTGCAGACAGGAATGGGTTGGGGGAGCAGGGTTGTCTCGAGCCCATGCTTTCTGGCAAACTCGGGGCTTACAAAGTTCCCAGTGTGTCAGGGGACGACTCCCAGGTCCCCATGACCCTCCCCTATGGTCCACAGCCTGTGGTGTAACCAGCCCTATCCAGGGCACAACCTACTGTGGGTAAGAAGATGAGAAGGAAGCTAACTTCTCATCTTCCCACAGTGGCCACCATATCAGGAAAACTTCCAGGAATATCTGGAAGTCACATGAAGGCAGGATCCAGGGCCGGATCATGTGGTGCATGGAGCATGCAGCACAGGAATGCGTGCGGGAAATGTAGCGGGTCCGGATGCGGGTCCAGGTCCGGGCTAGTCAGGGTGTGTGCCCTGACACAGTGGCTCCCAAGTCTAAGAGGGCTGATACAGAGACAGTAGCAAGGGAGGTCAAGGTAGTTAGCTTTACAGCTAGGTTGAGGGATCTGGGGGATTGCTTTGACAGCACGTAGATGGTGGATGGTGGGACTGCTACCTCTGGCACTGCACTTGGTATTCTCTGCTCGAGGATGCAGTTTTCCTCTTTTTCTTGGTGATGACTTGGTGGAATTAGACATTGGCGCCAACTTAGGTGCCTCACAGTATCTACATGAGTTGGTACTATTGCCTGCAGGCAGCTGGGATGCATCCCTCACTGGGAGGTACAGTTGAGCCCAGGCAAACCCTGGAAAATTTCTACAGCGGCTTGTGCTGAATATATAAGCTTCATTTCTCCACCGGACAACTCCTTTTCGATCTAGCTGCCAAAAAATACAATGTTCAGATATTTACCTGTTTTTTTTAGCCACGGCAAAATTTTTGACCCAAAATCCAAATGTTTTTTTTTTTTTTAAATAAATCTGCATAATCAGTAGCCACTATGTAACAAGAGAATTAAAGGAGATTTAAATACAGGAGTTCAGCTAGCATACATTGATTGATCTGGCAGAAGAGTATCTAATTCAGCCATAGCATCCTCACATATAGTGCGATGACTCTTTTGTTTCTTCACAGCCCAGGCTGCAAGCTTCCCAGTAAGGCCCTTCCGGTAGGCATCCATGAAGCGCCAAGCTCGGTTGATGAATTTTCGAATTGTTTCATCTGGACATGCATCCAAACACTGTATCGCTGCTGTTTTTGCATTGGCAAAAGTAGTTTTCCATATTTCACGATATCGGTATTTTGCATAACCCCAATACTATAGATGTTATAGTTAGAAATTGGAACTAGTTCAGACAAGAAAGGTTTTAACACACCATCTCAATCGGGTTCAACTCACAGTGGAACTTCGGCAGGAATATGCACAGGTGTCCTGCCTGTGTAATTAATTCTTCCAGCATTGAGACCTGATTTACAAAATCAGCCTGATGACTGAGAATGCGGGCAAGGCAGCAGTCTGTATTTTCAAATGGGCAGACAGGCTTGCACTTAGCTCATTTCCCATGTGTATTGAAACCGCGCTCCATCAAGACAGCCTCAAGGCCCTTGGGTTCACCTGCTTCAGTCACCATTGACTGAGGCATCCCCCGCTTTGAGCAATCAGGGACAGTGTCATCATTTGGGATAACAGTGTCATGCCGCTTTCGTTGTTTTCCACCATTAGATTTGTTCATATCAAATGCATTGAGAGCATTGGGACCGAGTGATGCATGCGCTGAAGACTGATCGAATATGAAGAGAGCCTGGCAGTTTGGATGAGCACGTTCAAAAATTGGGACTGCCTTTGTGCGGATCTGCTCTAGAAGTTGCTGAGTATCCCACCAAGGGTCACCATTGGCACTGGGATAAATGATTTTGCGAGCATCATTCCCCTCCGAAACTATTCCATTGTTGTCATGAGTGTCAGGGCACACCCGCCTGACCCGGGCCCACCCGGGCCCACCTGGCCACACCACACCCGCTCCCCGCTGTCTATCCCCCTCCCCCCTCCTTCCTCCCTCTCCTCCCCTTTCTTTTCCCTCTTCTTTCCCCTTTTCTTTATTCCATTCTTCTCTTCCTGTTTATTTCTTTCTATCTACACGGACCACCTTCCTTTGTATCGATGTACTATTGACCCGTCCGGCCCACACACCCCGGACGGCTTCCCGCTGTGCCCAGCACGCGCGCATGCAGCGGACGCTCTCGGGATCCCCCACGGGGACACCCGGATGCCTGCAGCTGCCCCCAAGGATGACGTGGCACCTGTCATGTGACTCAAGCCGCATGTACATAAATGTACCTGAAGTGGGAACTGAAGAAGTAACCTTCTTCTCACATTCTCCACTTCAGGTAAGTAGTATAGTTTTCCCCTTTAATAATAATAACACATTCTCCACTTCAGTCTGAGTGGCCAGGGACCACTGTCCCAGATCAGGCCCGCCAGTATGCACACCCGCTCCACACCCCGCGACGGCCTCAGTGCCGGATACTACCCCCGGGCCCTCTCGACTCCGGACGCGTCCCTGACAATGAGTTGGCCACTTTCTTCATATATAAAGTTGGAAACATGGATTAGATGGCCTCGACTCTTTTTCTGGAGCACAGACTGCCCCTCGGAAAGCCTTTCATTATAATTAGTTTGCACCACATTCTTCATTGAAATTGATGTGATGCTCACCAGGCACTTCTCTTGAACTCATTTGTGTGGAAACAGCTCTCATTGTGCCAGATTGGAATGATCTGCTTTTCATTCTCACCCAGCGCTGGCTCATTTCGCTCCAGAGAGGTGCCATTGAAGACATGCTGGACCATTCTGGCCTCGTACTCCTTCATTTTGGGTAAAAAAACCTCGTTCCGGTACTTCACAACATCCTCGCGCTCGTGCCCATCCATGTAAACCCCTTTTTTCAACACACTCCTGCGATAGCCTAGTTTAACAAGCCAGCGGCATGCTGTCTGGCGTCCCAATGGTTTCTTCAAGGTAATACCAAGTTCAGGTAGGATTGCTGTGTTGAGGGTGCAACGGAACAATTCTGGGGTCAAATTTTTTGCTGACTGCAATGCTAGCCATCCCCAGACCGCTTTTTCAACATCAGGATCATCAAGGTGACAAGTCCCCTTTCGTTTTCCTCCCCAGCGTTCAATGGGAAGTGACTCATGCTTTTCATAACAGCATGCCAATGCTCGGACACGTGCCGCAAAATATCTCCCATTTCCATCGTGTTGGTCAATTGCAATGTGAATACTTGCTGGGATCTGCTTATAACCTTTCATACGAAGGGTAAACCAGCTCCGTAGGAGGTTATATTGAGTAATCTAGAGCATGGTTACCAACAATGTCACTGGTGTGCCCACGCAGTCATGATTTCAAAACTCACCTGAGTTAGCGGCATGCTGACTATGTTCTTCTTTTTCTGGTCCAGCAGAATGTCATCAATCTTCTTCTGAAGCTCTTCCCATGTTTTTAGCTTGGTCAATGGAGTAATGGGTGTCACGTCACTCATGAGCTCCTCCATTTCCTCATCTCCAATGTCTTCACCCTCAATCTCATTTCCCTCTTCACCCACCGCTGCTCCATCATCATTACTGTCAAACATGTAATTAACATCTCTGCGCTGCCGTTTACCTTCAGCCACACAGGAGTCGCCATCAGTTGTCAAGGGAAGGCCCAACACATTGATGGCACGCTTCCACTTGGCTTGGCCACTGATGACAGGTGAGGAAGAGTCGCAATCCCGATTATTAATTGGGATACTAATAATGTTGGATGGATCATTCAGGGGTGGGGTGCTAGAAGTGGGCACATCGCTGGACATTGTGGAGGTGGTGGGTTCAAGAGTGGTACTGGGTTTCTTGAGAAGGAATCCATCCAGTTGTGTCTGTTTCAGACCTGCCTGACAGTCTTTTCTTGCATAAAGTCTCCGTGTTCGCTCTGCTTTGTTGGCGATTACTGGTCCCTTTCCATATGGGCCTCGAGTCTGTGAGTGGCACATCACTGGAAATTGATGAGTAAGTGGTTTCTTATTGTTAATAATGTCACAATGAGAGTTTGGCTTACCAACTTCCTTCGCTTTAGACTGCCGTGCACAATCTGACTTATTTGTTGCATAGTTGAAGCCATACTTTGGATGGTATGGCATCTCTTCCACAAGTCTATTAGCAGCTCTGACTCTCTTTGCCAGAGTTTCCACTACTTCGTCCTCCCCACATCCATGGACATCTTCACTGTCGGGATCTTCATCACTGCATGCTAAAAATGGTATCCCAGGGCTCAGTTCACCCCTGCAGCGGTAAGGGTCCCATTCATCCTCATCACTTGAGTCCGAAATATAATCAGAGACCTTTTCAATAGGTCCCAAGTATTCCAGAATTGACATAGACTTAGGTGTATTTGAGTTTAGGCCTGATGGGTTGGCGGATCAGAAGCAACTTTGTCTCGTGATTCAGTGGCCAAACCAAGTTGCACCATTTGCGGCACCATTATTGCATGTATCACAAAGAGCTATTCAGAATAATGTTGCCCTTTGGCAGGCCTTTCGAATGGTGCTAGAGCCAGGCTCTGGCACTTATTTTTTAGCCCATGGCAAAATTTTGCAGTTCAACAAAAAATAAAATTTTGATTTGGGCAATTGTGACAAATGGAAATGATACCGACACACAAAATGAAGCATTTCACACATATTCAGGGGTTTCCGGGGAAAATTTAGGTCGACGAAAAAACTTTCAAGTGTTTGCTTGGGCTCAACTGTACTCTCCAAAAGTGTAATCCTGCATCATGAGATCATGAGGAGTCATGACATGTCATGACAATTGAATTGAATCAGACATTTTTTACATTGAAAATTTTGGATTTCATGACAGTTCATGACAAATTGTCATGAACTGTCACCAAATTTCATGAACCATCATGAACCATCATGTGCTGACAAGGTTCATGACTGCTGGTGACACAATATGACATGATGTCTCATGGAGGTTCATGAGTGGTCATGATGTTCATGAACCTTCATGACCTTTCATGACAGGTCATGAAGGTTCATGGAGTGTCATGGAGTGTCATATGTTTATTTTGACCTTTCCCCATCATGTAAAATGCTATAATGTCCCATGATGCATCATGGACATTCATAATGCTCCATGAACATGTATGATGAGTCAATGCATGAGATGTCACAAGCACTTATGAACTGTCATGTGACAGACCTTATTTGTGACAGCACTGACTGATCAACCTCCAACTCATGGACTTGTGTTGGCACTGCACTGAACCTCCAGCCACCTTTGCTGCTTGGTGTTAGAAACAGTGCTTGAGGGTATGGCAGTGTGAGTGATCACTTAGCTGATAGGTTACTCCATTGCAAGGCATCAGGGGGTTGGGATGTTGGTTTCTGTCAGAGACCAGGTTTGAGACGAAGGAAAGTCTCCGTGGCGGAGGGCTTCAGCCTCAGCGACTTATGCCAAGAGCGCTGTGCCTAGTAACACATCCGTGCCCTAACTTACTAACTGGCAACCAGAACTGAAGGGGGTTAACTCTAGTCGATTTTATTACTGAAGTGTAACCTATGTACAAGTTGGATATATATATGGTTACAGCGAAGACGGGTCCGCAAATGGCAGAGCCGAACGGAGCGGAGCTAACAGGGTTAAACATTAGCCGACTGAATATTACCGACGAGTCGGGTCGTGGGGTTAACAGAAAGGCAGGCGATAACCCAGAAACGGAAAGGAGGGATAGGCCCAAAGGTGGGCTCTGCAGGGCAGGCGAGTGTATTGCCCAGTGGAGGCGGGAGTGTGCTAGCGGACATTGGAGCTGTCCGGAAGTCTTCAGGGCTCCGTACTTAGGGAGGCGTAGGTAATAAATTGAAAGGAGGGGGTGATGACCATCGAGGGGTACCGAGGGGATTGCAGAATACGGGAGCTCCGAGGTTAGTGAAGAAGGAGCGGAGGTAGACCGGAGGGATCGGAGGGACCAGAAGTCGATGGCTGGGGATGGATATGACAGTTTCAACAACTCAGTGGGAGTGTTGTGTCACATGCTCTAGGCTATCCTGTATTTCAGGTGTAGCAGAGGGAACCTGGTGGTGATGTAGGCTCAAGTGAAGACAAGGTCAGAGGTGAACTATGGACAAGAGGACTTGGGGGGTATTCTAGTTGACATTCAAACTGGGGTACATAGGTAGTATACTATCTACAATGCATAAATATGAAAGGGAGAACAGAAGAGGGGCTGGTGGGTCTGGCACCTGAATGGGAGGCAGAGTGGTGAATGCGACAAACTAAATGAGGGACAAGAACCAGGGAGACAGAGAGTGAGAGAATGAAATGAACAATTAAACAAAGAGTCAAAGTAGGGAGGCAACTGACAACCTGGGTGCCAATATAGTAGCAGATCAAGTGTCAATATTTTACTTATTCATTCTTCACCTGGGTTCTTGTCATTGATATTTAACAATCCCCACTCATTTCTGCACTGGACCAACTGGCCCTTCCCATGATTTCTCTCCCTTATTTATACCTTGTAAATACTTTCAGGGACCTTAGTCTGAAGATCAACTAGAGCAACCCCCCTCTTGTGTGATGCTTTCATATCACTTTCAACATGTAATTAACCAGTATGGCCCCAATTGTCATTGTTGTACCAAGAATCCTAATTTATGATCAATCACAATGATTCTTGGGAAGACTCATAGTGATTCATGAAGGTCCATGAGGGTCCATGATCCTTTATGAAGGCTCATGACACTTCATGACACTTCATAGACAGGCATGTAACCACTCAAAACCTGCCTGGAACCACTTAAGTCATGACCCCCATGCAGGTTCATGACATCTCATGAAATTCCATGATGGTTTGTCATGAACCATCATGACTGTGTATGACACTTCATGCTGCTTTGTGAAGTTTGGTGACCATTCATGAAATGTCATGACTTCCATGATGGTTCATGAACTGCCATTACACTTTTTGCAAGTTACTGCTCACTGGTTGCCTTCCTGAAAATCCTCTTGGGCTTCTACCTCCTGCCCTTCCCCTCTATCTGTCTCCGGCTCATCCACTAGCTGCCTTCTCAGCCCTTCCATGAGTGCCCTGAGGTCCTCTGGGTGCATCTGTCTGGCTTGGTGGATTTTTGGTTGTGGGCAGTCTTGCACGATGTGCCCTGGTGCATTGCAATTGTAGCAAAGCCTGTTTCATCTTTGGTCAGTCCTTGAGTGATCGAGGTCCGATGGGTTGCGGCCCTCCCCCCACTGCAGGGCAGGCTGTGGGAGGCAGCGGTGCAGCAGCAGGTGGGGGGTGCAGTGGTGCAGGGGCTGGGCAAGCTTGCAGGAAGGTGGTAGGGAGTAGGGATCTTGCAGGTGGGAGTTGGGGCCTGGCTGGGGGCAAGTGGGGCTGCATTGCCTGGAAGCATCGCCACTGGTTGTCCAGGAGGGTGTCATATCTGTGCATACCTGATCCTGACCCAACTCCTGGACCTCCATCTTCACCACCTCCAGAGTCCTACCCTACCGCTGTCCATTCTGATATTCACCTTCAGTCCTGACACCACACATGACACCACACCTCCCCTCACCCCTCATGCCACCTCCACTCCCCCGTCCTTCTCCTGCCCTATCTCCGTCCGCTCCAATACTCACCTCGGACCAAACACCACACCTCTTCCTCCTCACAACACCTCCACCCTTCCGTCACTCTCCTACCCTTCTCCCATCTGCTCCAATACTCACCTTCGGACCTGACACCTTCCCTCCAGTGATCTGGAGATCTTGATACATGCGCCGTAATTTTTGATGATGTGATGTGAGGTCATCTTCTTCCGACATTCTTGCACTATAGAATTGCCACCGAAGATAGATGCATGCAATACTCCCAGAATCCTCATATTCATTCTGGAGTGTGTCCCAGATTTCCTTCGCAGTATCTACCGATTCAATGAATGTTTGCACAAATGGGTTGCACCGGACACGCATTTGGAACATGGCTTTGCTGTCTGACTTTCAGATTTTAGCTTCATGTCATATCCATCCCCGGCCATCGACTTCCGGTTCCTCCAATCCCTCCGGTCTAACTCCGCTCCTCCCTCACTAACCTCGGAGCTCCCGTATTCCGCAATCCTCTCGGTACCCCTGTCAGGGACTCGTCCGGGGTCGAGGGGGTCTGGGTATAGCGTCCGGGACCAAGAGCCTGGCGGGGGGCGGATCGGGCATGCGTACTGACAGGCCCGATGCGGGACAGTGGTCCCTGGCCACTTAGACTGAAGTGGAAGGTTGTTATTATCATTAAAGGAGAGATATTGTACTACTTACCTGAAGTGGAAGGTTGAGAAGAAGGCTACTTCTTCGGTTCCCACTTCAGGTTCGTTTATATACATGCGGCTTGGATCACATGATGGGTGCCACGTCACCCTTGCACACAGCCATAACCACCCGGGTGTCTCCGTGGGAGATCCTGAGGGCATCTGGTGCAGGCGCGCGTGCTGGGCACAGCGGGAAGTCGCCCGAGGTGCCCGGGCCGGGTACATGGTGGGCACGCTGCAGGTGGGTCAATTGTACATTGATACAGAGAAAGTCGTCCATGTAGAATAAAGGGAGAATAAAGGAGAAGTAAGATAAGGAGAAACTGAGGAGGGGAGGATGTAGGGGGGAAGAAGGGAAAGGGGGAGGAGGTAAGGAAGGGTGGACCGGCGGGGTACCGGGTCAGGTTGGGCCGGGTGGAGCCGGGTCAGGCGGGTGTGCCCTGACAACCCCTCGATGGTCACCACCCCCTCATTTCAATTTATTACCTACGCCTCCCTAAGTACGGAGCCCCGAAGACTTCCGGACAGCTCCGACGTCCGCTAGCGCACCCCCGCCTCCACTGGGCAATACACTCGCCTGCCCTGCAGAGCCCACCTTCGGGCCTATCCCTCCTTTCCGTTTCTGGGTTATCGCCTGCCTTTCCGCTAACCCCGCGACCCGACTCGTCGGTAATATTCAGTCGGCTAATGTTTAAACCCCGTTAGCTCCGCTCCGTTCGGCTCCGCCAATTGCGGACCCGTCTTCGCTGTAACCATATATATATCCCACTTGTACATAGGTTACACCCCAGTAGTAAAATCAACTAGAGTTACCCCCCCCCTTCGGTTCTGATTGCCAGTCAGTAAGTTAGGGCACGGACATGTCACTAGGCACAGCGCTCTTGGCAGAAGTCGCTGAGGCCAAAGCCCTCCGCTACAGAGACACTCCCTCGTCTCGAATCTGGTCTCTGACACTTCATCAGATTGATTGGCAGCAATTAAGTCATCAAGGGATTTCTCTATATGTGGGAGTAGGTCGAGGACTCTGAATCTTTCATGTTAATTCTCCAGGTTCGGTAATTCTCCTTGCCGGTTAAGGCCGGAATTTTATATCCGCTGAGAGAAATGTTGTCAGCTGAGGAAGCCATAGTAGCAACTGAGTTGAGAAGTCAAGCGAAGTCCGAGTGTATTGAGTTAGATAGGTATGACCCTTAGGCTGGGCTCATAACCTCTTGTAATGTAGGGATTCCATATAAGGCAATCCGCTACCTCAGCGGTAACACTCATGAGACCAGATGTAAGCTAAGGTAAAATCTAATGATTTTTGTCAACGCCCGTCTGTGCGTATTTATATACAATGTAAATCCATTGTGGAGCGGCCTGTTAAGGTAACTCCTGTGCGACTACGGAATTAGTAATTCCCTCCACATAGTCCTCCACATAAACACCGGCTGTGTCCGGTCCCCGTGACTTGTGATTACAACAGAAAACATCGGCGCCCCGTTACGCACATCGGCATTCTCCGAAATGGAGTCGGACAGGGCGAGAGAAGAGCGCGATGATCGAGATATACTGTCAGCCACCCCTGCCAAAGGCCGTGACGATCGAATCGTCTTATCGGGCGAGGCTGAGGCGATGTGGGTGCCATCGGGGGAGAGCACGGTCAATGGGGCCGAGCGCCCTTGCAAGGGCTCACTGATTGATGCAGCGTCCCAAATTCGGATTGTCTTGTCTTGGGAGCCTGAGGCAATGCGGGTGCAATCGGGAGAAAATGCAGCCGACCAGACTGTGTTGGAGTGACCTTGCAGACACTCGCTAATCGGTATACCTGAAATGACATCCCAGATTCGAACTGTCTAAGGAGCCTGAGATGATGTAGGCGCTATTGGGAGAGAATGCAACTGAACAGACCCCAGCAGAGTGCCCTTGCAGAAGATTGCCGATTGGAGCACCTGACATGACATCCCAAATCCGAACTGTCTTGTCGAAGGAGCTGAGGCGATATAGGTGCCGTTGGGAGAGAATGCAACTGGGCAGACTTCAGCAGAGTGCCCTTGCAGTGGCTCGCCGATTGGCGCACCTGACACGGCATTCCAAATCCGAACTGTCTTGTCACCAGAGCCCGAGATGATGCGAGTGCCATCAGGGGAGAATGCGACCGACCGAACAGTGTGAGTGCCCTTGCAGAGGCCTACCGATTGGTGCACCTGACACTGCATCCCAAATTCGAATTGTCTTGTCAGATGAGCCTGAGATGATCCAGGTGCCGTTGGGAGAGAATGCAACTGACCAGACCTTTCCGGAATGCCCTTGCAGAGGCTCGCCAATTGTCGCACCTGACATGGCGTTCCAAATTCGAACTGTCTCGTCTTCAGAGCCTGAGACGATGCGAGTCGCCCATTGGAGCACCTGATGCGGAATCCCAAATTCGAATTGTGTTATCGGAAGAACCTGAGATGATGCGGGTGCCATCGGGAGAGAATGCAACCGAGTAGACCCAGCCAGAGTGCCCCCACAGAGACTCGCCGATTGGTGCACCTGACACAGCATCCCAAATCCGGACTGTCTTGTCGAAAGAGCCTGAGATGATGCGGGTGCTGTCGGGAGAGATTGCGAGTGACAGGACGAAGCCAGAGTGTCCTCTAAGTGTCTGACGAATCACAGGCCATCGCTTGGGAAGCCCTAATTGAACAGACAGAGTATTCTGGAATGCATTGCGCATGCATTGTAGAACAGCAGACTGAGAAGGTGAAAACGGCAAAGCTGAGAGATAGATGTGTGGCACGCTCTGACCGATTGGATACCCGAAGACGTTCACAAATGTATATGCCTCTGAGATGATTTCTTCGAGTCCCCGCTCGTAATTCTATGTAAGTAAATCAATCACTCGTTCCCATTGCACACGAGAAAAGTGGCCTACCTTAGCCCAACTAGCCGCCTTCCTTAGAATAGAGGGTATCATAAACATGCGGTCCTTCACACTGAATACCTCGATCCAGTATAGGAACTGGCGATTGATGAAGTTCATAACCGCATCGACAAGGGGATGCGGACCTGGCTCTGACATAGATCCAAAACCCAAATGGTCTGCCCAGTATTCGCTTGCATACGTCAGCGCAGGCGTTATGGCCCGATCGATTCGCTGTTGAATTCCCTCGATTTCCCTGTTCCGGTAATAGGACGTCTCGATCCCGCAGATATTAAATTTGAGATCTCGTTTCATCACCTGGAGACAGCCAGATGCAAGATCAAGGTGATGAACAGGTGTGTTTATGTGCCATTGCGGATCTTGACACCGTTTGGAGTCGCACAGAAAATCGGTAAAGGATGTATGTAAGACTTGAACAGGACGCCCGCGACCACCCTGCAACAGCGATTGCAACCGCGAGAGCACCACCTGGACCTTACCTAACTCCAGTCCTAGTAGCTGACTGAGCTGCCAATCTGTTAGCTGCTCACGAGCGACTACTATTGCACCGAGGATGGAATGTACAGCTTTGAGTTTGTTTTCGTCGTATGAGTCGAATGGATGAGTAAGAGCGACCCGATACAAATTATCCAACCCAGCATGCGATGGGGCCTGTACTGATGCACTTAGCACCTTTTTCAGCCTTTCTTCAGGAAAGCCGGATTCAAGGAAGCGAATGGTTGTAGATGCCCAAATGAAAAGACCTCTGGACAGAGCGACAAGCTGCCGTATTACGGGGTCTCCTGGCCAATTGGATGACAGACCATGGCCTACGAAGGCATCAGCGCTGCAGGTAAGCCGTTGTTGGAAAAGGAGCTTGATGTCAGATGATGTCGACTCATCCCCGATCGGCACGTCACGCACGTCAACACCCAGACGCGATAGGGCAGCACCAATGTCGGGTTCGTCCCGGCTGGCTATCAGAAACCGAAAGGTACTCGGAAGCCTTGCAAGGCCTTCAGAGAGTGCGCGAAGGAGCTTCGTCCTCGTCTCCATAGTACCACACTCATCCAGGGCATCAAGGACAATTACAATAGGGCCTAAATCAAGCTCTGCTGCAAGTTCGGCCAGAGGCGCCTCTAGAAGATGCTTGAATTGCATATCGAGGGCGGATGTAGTAATGTCGGGCAATTTTTCGATTTGTTCGGCCATTTTCACGGCAAAACTAGGATTGAAACGAGCCAGCTGGAAGGCAAGAGTACGTATCACACAAAGGGGTTCACCATCAAGAGGGTCGTTCCGGTCCCAGAACAGAAAAGCGCCACGTCGGCGCAGCTCTGAGAAGTGTTGAGCAACCGTGTTGAGTATGGTACTCTTGCCGGATCCAGCCGGTCCACGAAGCCAGATGACATTATGACCGGGAGGCAGGCTAGGATCTGTCAGGGAATCGATGAGGTTTTTCAAGATGTCTACTCGAGTCCCAGGCAAGCATGTATCTCGATCTCCCGCATCCATGGTGGCAGGCTTCAATGCCTCGATTTCAACTGCAAACCCTGAAGGTAAGTAATGTCCGGTGCACAGAAGGTGGAAGTCATCGCACCAAGTTTTTCCACGCCCCTGGATATTTGGACCGAGATGAATGCACTGTAAGATGTTACTCCCATATGAAGGTCCTTGTCAGCACCCCCGAGAGGTTCGAGATTGTTTGGGAGGTGTTTGAGAATGTTTGGTGAGCGAGTCGGCCTGGGCACATTGATTGTTCACTGAACTAAGCAACACAACCAACAACGAGCGGCCTACCTATGAGCCCACGGGACACATACTGCTTGATGAAAATTCCACATTCCGTCGTTTGGACAGAAATTCGGATAATGCTGGCTTCGAGGAGCTGAATTTTGTTCTTCAGCTCATCAACGGCATCGACGAACGAATAAAGGTCAGCCATGACGCGACAAGACCGCAGAGTGCATCGTCTCCCTCTATCTGCCCTCGAACAGCCTGAAACAACCGCTCGAAATTGTCAGCGCACGGGTTTGCGCTATAATAACGACGAATTAATACTTGGCACACCGAACTCAAGACCTGCCAAACAATATTTGCGTAAGGATGGAGCTGCCCGACGGCGTCGCGCAAACTAAAGATATGTTACCGCGGAGCAATGCATACCTTGGCTGTTTTATCGACAAAATCCACCACAGTCTTGGTCTTGTCGACCACTTTGAGCACGCTGCCTAGATCTCGAACCGCAGCCGCTGAGTCAGTAGCGCCTCGAACCGGCTCGGGAATCTCGAGTGACGTAGGTAGGTCCTGGCAATGTCGTGTGCGGCTTGAGGAACTCGCTTCGTAGTGTCCAGCAACTGAACAATGAGCGAGCCTGCCTCTCGACCCCGTTCGTCATGAAGTGTTAGGGCAGTTCCTGCAGCAGTTTTAAATGAGACCACCCAACGAGGCAAGACTAAGGATAACCAGCTCACGTTGGTTATTTATCTAGCAACTTTTCCGTTGTGATGTGCGCAGAACGAAGTAGGATGGGACCGAACCATTTGCGGGAGTGCTTGAGATGAAAGGACAGAACAGAAGACAACTCCGCTGTTCTGAAGGTACGTACTATCTAGGCTGACCTCCATTAATCGCAAAACCTACATAAAACAAGTGTGGCCCTAAGTTGGGTTCTGTTTTGCCTCAGTTCATTTCCCGATAATACAGGCCTGACATAATGCGCTGGGCCCGAGGGTGCTTTCTTGACGTCTCCGGCCTTAATGACCGCTTTAGAATGAGGGTGGATGGAACCACTAGGACGAAGGTGACGCACTAGCTAGGGAGCAAACGCATTTGGAGTCTCCATGAGTTGTCATGTGGACCACTGGATTTGGCTCAAATCAATTCATGGGCCGTCCCCTCGGTCCATCATTGTCCTGTGCATAGATGCGCACCTGGGACCTGGCAGCTCCGCGGGGCGGCTTAGGCGCTATCTTTTTCAAATTCCTCCTACGGAGTAGCGGACCTGCAAATTTTTCGCCCGGGACTAAATTCATTTTCGGACAAGGTCCTCCATTATTGCAAATTCTCAATAACCCAGGGTCCTTCAATCATTACTCTCTCCACTTCGTTTTCCTTCCCCCTGCATTCTTTCTACTCTCGATTGTTACTCTTCCTCACTCCCACAATGCTTTCCATTCCACCGATAGCGACGGTCAGCGATCGTTCCAAACTGGCGGAGGTAGCTGTCTTCGATATTGTCATGAAATCGGACTACAGCAACCAGAAAAATGCAGCAATTAATGCGTGGAAGGAGCATGGTGCACGCGTTTGTCGTTCAACTGTCACTGTCACTGAGTCCTCGTCCTCACCGCAGCGCCTCAAAGTCAATTCCACCAAGTTCCAATTAGGGTTACCACTGAATCGTTACTTGAGGAACAAATTCTCACAAGTTATTACTCCCGTAATACAGTTGCTCGACGCTCCAATTATATTCAGTTATTACCTTGCTTTCCCCGTGGAAAGTCCTGGACATCTGGCACAACAATGTCGAACGGAGTCTCGATTGGGTACCTTCCGTCATATCACCTCCAGAGTCTCCAACAAGCACAAATGTCAATCCGAGGAGCCCCAGGGCACCTAATTATGTTTGGGAGTATCGGAAAGGAGTTGCTCCAAGTGATTGAGGCTTAGTAATTATCCCGGGTGCTGGAGCGTAAGCGTGAGTAATCCATGCCAATGCGAAGAAGCTCGGTGTGCAATCGGGGCTACGTCGGATGAAGAGTCCGAAGTCGTGTAATATTGAGTGGCTGCAACTATGGTTCGGTATCTGAAAATGTTAATCCGAGGGGTCTTCAATGCATCGGAAGGTGCGCCCCGGGCATGTGCTCCGTCTTCCACTTTCTGGTCGTATATATGCTCATATATCTGGACATATTGACACGCTCAGCTGCCATTGCACAAAGAATACCAGTGCTACTGACCTTGGCCAGGGTGTTGGGATTGACGACACCATAATTCGTATTTTCATACTCTCGCTTTACCTCTGATCTAGCTTCTTTTGCTGTTAAGATTAAAGAAAAAATCCGTCGAAAGCGGGGTCGAAGATTTCGTTTGCGGATGGAGAATCGTCCGATGGTTTGAGACTTCCTCGGTGAATGATGAGATCGACGGAATGGTTGGATGGAACTGAGTGCTCGGAGCTAGGGGCAGGTGGAGGGAAGACACCCAAACGGGCTTGGATGTCGAGGAGGACTTCGGCTGCGCTCTGACCGCTTCCAACGACAGCGATACGGACTGGTCGGAAATTGGTACTCCCACTCCCAGTCGTAGTTGAGGGGCGTTTGAAGATGATGTCACTGAGGATATCATGCATAATGCCGTCGATGCGGTGCGCATATACTGAGGTGTGGATAGTTCGACTGGGAGCTCTGACAGCAAGCGCAGATAGCGAGGGAGGTACTCTCGGTGTTCCTCCGGGCGCGATAACAAGATGCTTTCCTCTCCGGACGCGTTTTACGGGGTGTCCACTTTCGGAAAGCGAGGTTACTGAGACGACTAGGCCATCGCTTTGAATGCTCAGGACCCTCTCGCCGTAATGAACCAATACACCGGGCTCGCGGGCAACTTTTTCCGCAGCCCATATCAGATAGTCGGAATATTCACGTCGACTGGGGATGAAAGAGCCTCGGTTAATGAATGTGACGAGGCGATTGTGTTCGTGAAGGTAGGAGAGGAAAGTGTCTGAAGAGGTTGGCGATCGTAGCATGGCTAGATCTTTTAGGAAGCTGTGGTCTGTAAATTTCGCCATGAAAGGAGAAAAAGGTTCACAAGACTCGCCTGATTTGCATGCTTGCGCCTGGCAGGAGCATGCCCGGATGCCACTGAAATGACGAGCTTTTTTCTATGAATGTTATGGTATCTAGGGGTAGTGGTTTTCCTCGTGCCTAATGCTTGGACTTTGGAGTGTGTATGATGTGTAAGAGCGCACTTCACATACGATATATGCGCGTTTCTTTTCAAGGAAAGCTATTGCAAGGGCCAGGGCGGCGGGGCCGAACCCCACGCAGACCAGATCGGAAATATGCCCATGACATTCAGTATCCATCATGTCTCAGGGAGAAAGATCGAACGCGAGGAATATTCCCGCTATTCCGTAGCAGTTTTCGCGATCTGTGCAAGAGGTCCTCTAAAAGTATCTTCCGCGGACTTATCAGATAACGCCAGCGTGAAATTGGGGAATTGTTGGTGGATGTTATTGAAACCTAGCAAAAACTCACGGCAGGCATCGAAAGAGGGGAGCGATTGATTAGGGTCGATAGCATAAAGAGCGATGCACACGGAGTAACGAAGAGCGTGCGAAGCATGAGAAGACAGGAGGTACTCAAACAGAGCGCGGCAAAAGAGATCACGCGAAGGATATTGAGAGCGGTGAGCAACACACGCATCTAGACAGCTGGAATAGCAATGAGCACAGAGAATGTGGCGTAAGAGCAAAATCCGTTGATCGTTGATCGTCAATGAGAAGTCATACAGGCCGTGAGCTATCGTTTCTTTGGTGAGATGGTAATTGGAAACCCCGTCATTGGTTAGGAAAATTAATGGCCACGAACCGTGAAAAAACGCTAAGTTGGGAGAAGACGACATGGTGTAGTGCAAGAGTACGGAGAGGGGAGAGTGCACTTGGTGTCGAGGGGGAGATCGGATAAGCCAGGTTGTAAAGCACGTGGACATGAACAAGGAGGTTTCCAGCGTTCAGCTGTCGGCAAGCGTGATGAGCTAAAATCGTATGTCAGCAAGCTGAGGCAAAAAAAGGGTATAACCGGGGTATAACCAATATTTGTGCACGGCCATTCAGTCTACGCGTCCAAGACCCGCTGCAGAGTAGCGGCAATTTCACATCGTAATATGTATTGTAGTTTAGCGGTTCAATGTCATCACCGGAACTTGGTTCTCAAAAAATCGCCCCAGAACCGAACCACCCCTAGGCCACTACGAGTAATAACTCCTTTGCGCTCTTCGCTGCCAATTGAAGGGGCGGGTGCCTGGGAATTACAACGAATATGTCCCTTGCATTCCGAATGAAAGGTCATACCAATTCCCAGTAGGCTGCCATTGAGATATCCCAATAAAGTCCAATAGTAAATCCAGTCGGAAGGTGGAAACAAAGGACGAACTGATGTATGTCCGTGCGATATGAGACCAATTGCATGCACACGTGAAATGGCAGCCTCAATACCACGTTCTGTCGAATGCAACGATCGACAAGCAAACAGCTGGGTGAACGAATCGGGCCCCTCATTGGAGGAGAAGAGCAAGCCAATAGCGAGCATTCCGGACGAATGGTGACTGCGCATGCGTACCGCAGACGCCTAATTCGCTGATCCAACAACAAACTGGGTCTGCAAATTGACAAGAAACAAGATGAGAGAACATGTCAGCGATGCAATCCTTCAGATGCACGACTCCTCCGATGACCCAATTACAGAATAAAAAAGGAAATCCACCTGCCGGTATGCACGATTCAGCACGAGGTCAAGGTACGCGATTGTTGTACAACACCCAAACAGCGGTCGGCCCCGGCGGACCAGGATCACCATATCTCAAAATTGCGTGAAGCCATCTGCCACCAGGTGCGCAGGCATCGAGTGAAGCCAGAAAGTAAAAGCAAAAGCGCGGAGTGAGAGATATACAGAAGTGATGTGATATAATGTGAGAGCAAAAAAAAAACACAGAACCAACAACTGCTCACTATGCCCAAAAATAACTGGCGCCGATAGACTGCAAGGATAATTCTCCAACGTAATGAAAATGGGTTATTTCAACGGTGTTTATGACGGGAGGAGAAGGGGAAAGAGTGGTGAACAGCATATACGGTGGTCGGCATCGGTGACGTTGAGTGAAGGTTGTTCGGCTTGGGTGGCAACGGCAACGAAAACCCTCATTAGCATAAGTGGCCCAACGAGAACTGTGGGACGGCGGAACGTGCTGGCAAATCAGGGTTTCGGTGGATGTGTGGAAGGCCGACCCGACCGCCACTACCGTCGGCAATAGATCTAGAACCAGGAGCGAAGAGCGAAAACGTCACGAGTTCAAGGTCTTGACAAGGCGAGTGCTGCGCCGAACGCCGCTAACATGTTAGAAGATAAAACGGAGTCAAAGCTGAAAATGCTGCTCATTTGAACGTGAAGTCTACAAGTGAAGTCCAAACGCTTTAAAATGACAGGTTATGACTCAGGCCAGGTGCGTTGTGGATCGTTGAGGGACTGTGGCTGCTAGGTTCTGGTCGACTCCAGCGAGTACGAGTTAGGTGGAGCTGGGTTCGAACTTCAGTCGTTGGTGGTGAATAGATCTATGAACTTGCTATGAATGGTGCATTATCGAGGGGGATATGCAAATTGAGTTGAGAGGCATTGGAGCAAAACATGGGAGGGCTGAATGAATATTGGAGTCAATATTTGAGGGCTCGATCTTGTTGCAGTCACAAGACCTCCGATCGGGTCCCATCTGTTGTCCAAATGCCCTTGATTCGTCATCGTGCTGGGGTGTCGCAATGAATAACTATGTGTTGGCCATTTGAAAGGGGAGACTGCGTGCCAGAGTTCCTTTGGTCATATTGCAGGCACTATTCTTGGTGGATTTCTCGTGCGGAACAACACGCCACTGATCAAACTCAAGTTGCGGCGTGAGAGTATGATGAATGTTCTAGCCGTGTATTAGCGCTCTCTGCCAGAACAGGCGCGCTTGTGAGGACTTCCTGATTAGGCGACTTGAAGGCTGTTGCTGAACTGACATTGCACCTGAGTCCTGACAACGTGTTGTTGAAACCGTCACTCCAATTTGTCCAAAATGTCCAAACTGTTAAGAAAGTCAAGGAAGGCAAGGAGAAAGTCAAAGGGAAACTCTTCAAGAAAGACGGATCATCGCAAAATCAGCAAAGCCAGCCTCTTGCAGGCGGGTCATTAACTGTCGCACCCACGCTGCCACCGTCAAGCCAAGAAACGGGTCTCGATACCGTTTGGAATGGCGTTTTGAACCTGCTGAGTGTTGCTAAAGAGACTCTGGATGTTGTCCCGGTCCCTGGACTCAAGAGCGCGGTCGGCGGCTTCCTCGAAGTAGTTAACCAGCTGAAAGTGAGTTACTAAAACTGTTTCAATCGGCCTTTATGCCAATAATTTCCGCTCTTACAGCAAGTCAGTGGCAACGCTGGTGCAATTCGTCAACTCGAGAACAGTGTCGAATTCTTTAATCAGTCAGTATCGAAGCCGCTCGAACAGTTCAAGGGAAAGGGCCTGTTCCACCCGAACTTGCCCAGGCAATTGATGACTTATCGGCGTGCGTTTACGTCTCCTAAGAGTGTCTCGGAGTCGAAATAGTCTGACTGTCCTTTTCAGTGATCTTGATAAGGTTGTTTCGCCGCTGAAATTGTACCTAGATCGAGGTCTTGTTCTCCAGTGGGCGGATCATAACAAAATCGGAGGTGATGTCCAGGCAGCTGGGGAAGGGATACGTGATGCAGTGAGGGCCTTTCAAGTAGGTATCCTTCGCTACCTGTAAGCCGTGCGCCAAACGCTAATTAATGGGCATAGGCTGCGCAAGTAGTCCGGCTTGCCTTAGGGATTGAGGTGCGGTTCAGTTTGTACCTGCTCTGTCAGCCTTCAGGCTAACCAATCCTCTAGCAACTCCGCATGGATGAAGAAGCAAATCGGTTACTTGACACTCTTCATTATACCCTCGACGCCGGCTATGACACCAGCAGGCAGGGGCCCCATCCAATTGCTTCCAAGGAACGCGAACTGAGATTCTTCATAACATCAAGCAATGGTTACACCGACCAGCCAACGATACGACTAAATCCGTGTTCTGGGCAAACGGTCTGGCCGGGATCGGCAAGTCGACTATCGCCCGCACCATCGCGCAGTACGCCGAGGAATCTGGCCTCCTCGGATCGAGTTTCTTCTTTGTCCGTCAACATGCCGAATTATCCAATGCGAAGTTCTTCCTTGGGACGATCATACGGGACTTCGCCAAAAAGCTTCCGAGTTTCGGCACGGCTGTTGCAGACGCGCTGAAGAAAAATGAGAAGCTTGCCCATGTCTCCATTTCCACCCAATGCTCCGAGCTTTTCTTCGCGCCCGTTGGACAGCTCGAGCTTTCTGCGCCTCTTCTCCTAGTAATTGACGCTCTGGATGAGTGTAGCCGAGAAGATGCGAAAGAAATACTCCACCATCTCATCCCTCGTTGCACTGGCATCCCGGGCCTCCGGATACTCATAACAAGCCGGCCAGAGTACCATATCACTAACAAACTTGACCCAGCGATGAATGTTGACAAGATCATGGTTCATGAAGTGGATAAAAACATTGCTTCGCATGACATTAAGTTATATCTGCAAGATCGGCTCAAATCTATTCACGAAGATTTTAGTCGTTTCGTCCCAGACGGATGGCCATCATCTGAAATGGTCTCTGGCCTCACAAACAAAGCTGATGGGCTATTCATCTGGGCCGCTACTGCAGTCAAATTCATCGGAGATGATAATGTCAGGGATCCTGTGCGTCGATTGGACACCATCATGGGTGGTGTGGATCCGCATGATGCGAGTCCTTATGCTGAGCTGGATAATCTTTATGAAGCGGTCTTGTCTGCCAGTGTTTTCGGAACCCCCCAAGATATCCCCACCCAGCTCTACCGTCTTCTACATGCTGTTGTTCTGCTTAAGGATCCGTTGCCTGTGAAAGCACTCGGTGCTTTTGCCATGGTCTCCAATCCTACACCGTTGCTTGATCGCATACAATCCATCATACCACTGCCTTCAGAGCCGAAGGGCAGAGTTGAAGTCTACCACCCTTCCTTTCCAGATTTCATCATAGAACGGTGCAGGAACCCTGAGCTTAGGGTTGATGTGGAGAAGCATGAGAGGTGGATGGCCCTTCGCTGCCTTACTCTGCTCAATACCAATCTCATTCCATCTATTGATGAGATTGTCCCATGGAATTCACTCAATGTGGGGGTGGTGAACCTAAGTGCCAAGCTTACTTCAGTGGTGGGGGAAGAAGTGCAGTATGCATGCCGCTTTTGGACAGCCCATTTGGGGAAGCTTCAGGAGGTTGATGATGGTGAAATTAGGGATGCACTGGAGAAGTTCACTGGTCTTGGGAATGCTGGAAAAGGGCTTTTGTTACGATGGATTGCTGTGATGAGTATGATGGGGCATGTCAGTGATGCTGCTAGAGGTATATTGGACATTCTTCCTTGGATGGTTAGTGATGATGCTGCTTGCTTGAGGACTCTATTACTGACTATTATATTAGAGAAGGAGAAGTCACCTGGCTCATATTGGCCATATTTTGCATGAAGCCTACCGTATGATTATGGCCCATGCACCAACCATTGAAGCGACTGCAGCACACATCAGCCAGTCTGTTTTGCCATTCCTTCCCCCAAAAGCCAGCTGTTGCCTGCCTTCCAACAAGGACCCAATCCAACTGTAACTGTACATGCTGGGCATGATTTGGAATGGCCTTCCAACATTGCAACTCTGATTGGCCATTCCAATTCAGTGACATCTGTGGCCTTCTCCCCAGATGGATTGCTCCTTGCATCAGCATCAGGTGATCATACCATCAGGCTGTGGGACCCTCACACTGGGAGCCACCTCAAGACACTTGAGGGCCATTCTGATTGGGTGACATCTGTGGCCTTCTCCCCAGATGGATTGCTCCTTGCATCAGCATCAGGTGATGATACCATCAGGCTGTGGGACCCTCACACTGGGAGTCACCTCAAGACACTTGAGGGCCATTTTCATTTGGTGACATCTGTGGCCTTCTCCC